AAATAAAACAATAAAAATAACACTACAACAACAAAAAATAATACAAATAAAAAACCAAGCGCGGCATGGTGACTCACGCCTGTAATCCCAGCACCTCGGGAGGCCAAGGTGGGCGGATCACCTGAGGTCAGGAATTGGAGACCAGCCTGGCCAACATGGTGAAACCCCACCCATCTCTACTAAAAATACAAAAATTAGCCGGGCGTGGTGGCAGCTACTCCGGAGGCTGAGACAGGAGAATAGCTTGAACCAGGAGGTGGAGGTTGCAGTGAGCCAAGACTGCGCCACTGTACTCCAGCCTGGGTGACAAAGCAAGACTCTGTCTAAAAAAAAAAACCACCCCCCTCAAAAAAACACAATACAGTATTCACAGCTGTTTACACAGCATTTACATTGTATTAGGTATTATCAGTAATGAAGAGATGATTTAAATTATACAGGAGAATGTGCATGGTTTATATGCAAATACTGTGCCGTTTTATGTAAGTGACTTGAACATCCACAGATTTTGATATCCATGAGGGTCCAGAAACCAATCCCCCCCAACAGATACTGATGTTCAACTATATATTTGACCTATAGTTTTTAAGAACTTTTTAAAATAATCGATTACTAACTAAGCTTAATGTTGGCCCTCTACCCAATCATTTATGGGGATATTTGCTGTGGTTAGGCACAAAATGTTTGCATCCTTGATATGAAGTTGGAAATTAGGAAGAGAAGACATAGGGTGGGAGATAGGATGGATACATTTTTCTTTATGTCTTGAACTTAGTTTACAGATTTTTCCCTTTTCCCCCCCTCAGTAATTTCCCAGATTATCAGTAATCTCCCTCCAGATTTCCATTTTGTATTGTGTTCCTAAAAAATAAACAAAGTTTGTGGTAGTATTATATCAAAGTTTGTGGTAGTATTGTTGAATTCTATTTTAATTTTAAGGGGAGAAATGACTCTACATTTCAAATTTACGTGTGGTATGTGTGTGTGGGCAGGGGGGTTGGGGGGTGGTCAAGAGATGGTAGCTGCATTGCTTTTATAGAAAATATGCCTTGACTAGCACTCTGAATCATTAACTACAGACAGCCGGTGTTCCATTGTATTCTTCACAGATTTAGAGAGGTTGTGCCTTGCAATTGTGAGATGTCCAAGTATATCCAACTATAATGCTTTGTAGGCGTATCCTGCTTTATCTCTCTTTAATTGGTTTGCTTCTTCTCAAGCTCCAGAAATAATATTTATTTTTCTCAGAGAGTGTTGAGCCCAGTAGAGTGTACACATTTAAGCTTCCTAGATTCTATAGAAAAAGAGCTTTAAGGTAAAAGTATTTACTTCCTTATGGTCTTTTTCAGAGGTTGCATACTCAAGAAGAAGAGGAACATAAAATGCGTGATGCCTTCTCTTAAGGTTCTGCCTGCTTTTAGGCCTCCATCTGAAAACATAAGGACCTTACCTTTGTATGAGTGTTGCACTGCAACTAAGTCTGCTCAGCTCTCCTCTTAATCTAAGCTACACTCTCCCAACTGTCTGAGGCTCTTTCATGTTACCAAGTATCTTAGCTGGGTGGACTTGGGAGCACATTGAGTTAAATATCACATGAGGAACTAGTGTGTTGCCTGTTTTTATATCAGGGATTTGAAGAATGTTGAATGCAATATAACATGAGAACAAATAGTACCCCATTAATGTTTCAACTCTATATGGGAAAATCTCACACCAGTTTATGATCTCTAGGCACGTCAATTTAGTGAGTCAGTGACAGACAGAGGAACAATTTTAGGGAAGCCAATTATCGCCATCAGCTAAGGGGAGAACTAGAAATTATGGAAATGGACAACCCCTCTCAAGTGTTCCATCTTGTACCTGTGGCACCATTTTGGAGCACCTTGTCTCAGAGCCCTTCATCACGCCTCCACCTTACTGGAGAACACAGAAGCCTGGGAAGAGTTTTATTTCTTTGGTTTGGAGATTTTAAAAAAATAGCCATGTATAGTTACACAGAATAAGAAGGGAGACTGGTCAGTTCAATTCCATGGTCTCTTGAGCAGTTCCACAGTGTCCTCAAGGACCCAAGCTCTTTCCATCTTCTGTCTGCCATCCTCACAGTGCTAGTTTTTCCTTCAGACCTGTTTCCACATTGCTGCAATGTGGCTGTTGCTGTTCTAGACTTGGACAGGGTTTTACCTAGCCATTCCTTGGGTCCACTCCCATGCTCTCCTTTACCCAGACAGCTGCAGGGTGCGGAGCTAAATCTGGGAGATAGCATGGGAAAAATACAAGCAAAACTGTTTAGATGGGGTTTTAATACTACATCCTGGGTATTTGATACCAATTAAATGACTGCATTTTTGATTCTGTAAATTTAAAACCCCATATATGCTAAGCGATATAAAGTGTAAGGATTCAGGGTATGATTTACTTCATTCTGTATTAAAAAAATGTGAGTACTTGACAGCATTCTAATTTTTGCCTTTTTTGCTTTGTGTGTACTTTTGTGTGTGTACTTGAAAGTTTCTTCTAAATCAACTCCTGTCCACCTTATTTAGTTGTTTGATTCTGATGGCATATTTCCCCATACATGGGACATTGTAGATGCACAGTGGTACTGTTGAATAATGGACTGTGATGTTCAAGGTAGACCTTTCAGTTGCACAGAATCTTTTTCTCCTCTCCTCTTTAGCTGGAAACCACATTTCTTGTGAACCTAGTGAAAATTGAATTTATTCTGTAACTTTGATTCCCCTTGGCCAAACAGATCAAACACAGTGGGAGGGTACAGTGTGGGCAGGGTAGAGGTGGTGAGAGATAGCCTTGAGATCATGAGACTCTTCTCCCCACATGCCCAGTCTTTCCCTCCGTTGTCCCTTCTCAGCATTAACACATTGGAAGAAAGTACAAGTAATATACACTGAAGTCAATGTCTTGGTTGTACTAAAACTACTTTCTTGCTCCTTGTGGTGTGACATGTGGTCAGAACACTCTTCTACAAGGTTAGCACATACAGAAACACATAGTTGGCTGGCAGACTACCTAGCAGAGTTCACTTTATTCTCTACAGCTTTGAATTACTTAAACAAAACCAAAACATTTTGGACCCGTGTCTCTCTTTCTGTCGTTACTATGTATACGTAAGTCGTTTTCTCTTTTTATTAATAGTTCTAGCCAGTTTTTACCCCCAGTGTAAGCTGGCAAAAATCTCTCTAACCCTCTCGGCCATAGAAAAACTGAGTTGCTTCGCAGGCTCTGTCCATGGTTTTAGCTGAATTGAATTCTAAGCAGTTTGAAGATATTTTTCTAGCTGAAGACATTGTCCTATCCTTGACTTATACAGTACTCTCAACTCCTGACCAGCTTCTCGTTTTAAAGTATTTATTCCTGAACTTACTTTTCCAGCTGCCTCTTCCCATTCTGGGCATCTACAATTATGTTTTATTTACCGTTTAGTTTTCTTTTCATTAGTCATTTGTCCCTGACTTTCTCATTCCAAATACATGTATTTCTATCATCTTTTTTGAAGCATAAAGAATGACATTTTGTGTACCATTAAATGGTTAATAACATAAATGCATTTTGCTGTACAATGAGGAGGGGGTCTATTTATGGCACGTAAATACCTAACATTAATTTATTAAGTGATTTACAAAGATTTGGGCCTCAATTTTCCTCCCCCCCCCCCAAGAAGATTATTGTCAGCAACCCTACTAGGGTATGTGATTTGGGTGTTAAGCTGGGTCAAACCAGGCAAGATAGGAAGATTTTATATAAAATTGCCTCTTTCAAAGGTGCTTTTCAGTTTTAAGGGGAAATTGAAAAAACCAGTCTGTGATGAATTGATGATTGTATTTAATCATTTCTCTGTACTTTTGAGTTATTGAAATATTCTTTTAATAATATATCAGTTTCCTTGGTGAACATTTAGGGTATTTTTTTTTAACCTCCTCTTGTAATTTGGTAAGGGTGGAAAGTGTCAGAAGCCAAATCTGTAATGTTATCCAGAAGATGACGACATCTAGACAATGAGTAAACAAATATGGTGTCACTTTATTTCACATTCCCTAAATTACCTGTGATGAACTCAAGAGGTTTTTTCATTTATAAATAGAAAAAATTTATTCACAGTCCTTTGGCATACTATAAAAGTCGAATTATCTAAAATGTAATCTATTCAGATAGCATTTAGTAGGAAAATAGAAATAATTGTTCTCAAGATACGATAAGTTAGATGTGTCTATAAAGGACAGTTGAAAAGAGTAGCAGTGGGATATTGATTGCTTTTGAGAGAAAGAAAAATTCCATTCCATTTCTAAATGTTAACAATTGCAAAAGGAAGATTCCCACTTGGGAAGAATGTTTTTCAGGTTGCTTCGTTGCCAGGTGTTTGACACTGTGTGTTGTCTTAGATGAATAAGGCTTAGGGCAGTCTTTAGGAACGATTCACTCCAAGGACCTCTGCTTCTTGCTGTGAAAGCTTCTATTTTCATAGCACGCCACTGTCAGTGGAAATGTTCCAGTGGTCACTGCGCTACTTCTAGTAGAGACCAAAGTTTTCCCCCTGAAACTGGGATAGCTGTAGAGGAGAATACCTGTCTGCTAACAAAATTAATTTCAGAACGTTGTCAATGAATGAAGTGCATGTTCTCTACTGTTGATGAGATTGAGCTGTGTCACTTATTAACGGAGATAAGCCTTGCTTTTTTGTGGTCCCTTTTAACACCGTTGCATTCTACAAATATGATTTACAATCATCCTAAAGTTTAAAACATCCAAATAATGTGATAGTTGCTTTGAGACCATCCATATTTTCCCCTTTCCTTTTTTCTCTCTCCTTGACCCCGCAGCAGGAAGCCTTTGTTTGAGGTGTTCATCTGGAACAACTTTTCCACACTTGTTTTCATGTTCTGTTAGATTACAGGGCAGCAGGCCTACCTTTGAAGCTCCTTTCTCTTTTGTTTCTTTGCCGTGCACTCCAGTAATTAACTTTGTCCTTCTTTTATTTGTTCCAGTCAATCGCAGGCCACTCTGCTGAGCATCTTCTCCCAGGAGTACCAGGTTAGAAGTTTTCTCCTTTGTGAGGGTTGACAGGTGCCTAATTGAATGATGAATGTCCCTTTATTTCTTTGTAATTGAACTGCCAGCTCTCTGATTGGGCTGGAGGATGTTCTCCTTTCCACATCAAGTACCGCCTGCGTCTCGGTGGAGGCCTGCCAAGCCTACCCATCCATCTGTCTAATAACATCTAGCCTTTGCTTATTTGGTGGACCTGTAATAAATTATGCTAAACCATTATTATTCTGACAATAATAATTTCCCTGTGTTGCGTGGTTCCATGTGCTAAATGTTTGCTGACTTGCACTGTCAGTGCCGCTTTCCATTGCTGACAGAGATGATGATAAATGACCATTGCTGGAGTGGCAGAAGGCAAGAGAGGCAGAAAATGGAGTCATTTATCATGAGATGACAGGTGTCAGTCAAGTGGCAAGTCTCTATGGAATTACTTTTTGTAGTTTTCAAATAAGTTGTTTTTAAGCAATGTTCTTCCTGGTTTAAAATGGCAATTGGATTGTAAAACTAGACTGCAGAGGACCTAGATGGAATTGAATCGAGAGAAAATTAATACAAAGGTTGAAAGAGGGAACAAGTTTTTCTTTGCCCTCTGTAGCCCTAAGCAAACTTATTTAGATTCAATTACTATGACCCTGTTGGCTTTTACATATATACTGTACCTTGTGGTACAGTCTGAAGACATCCCAGCCAAGCAATGGAGATTAAAATGCATAGGTTCGTAGAGTAGAAGGAAAAGAAGTCCTGCCATCACCAAAATTCCCAAGGTATCATTCAGCGTTCCCTACGTGCTAGTCTTTGGGCTCAAGAAATTACATCATTCTTGTTTTAAACCTCATCTGTGACATAACAAAGATTTTTATTTTTTATATTTATTTTTTCAGAAACACATTAAAAGAACACATGCCAAGCATCATACTTCGGAAGCAATTGAAAGTTATTACCAGAGGTATGACCTTCCTGCCCCACTAGAGGGTATCATAGTACCTATTAATTGTAATAATAATTATGAATAAGTTAGGTCATTAATATTCTATATCATATCCCAAGACATTCTGTTTTAAGTCTTTTATTCAAAACTTTTAGTATGTTTTTGAATGAGTTTTCAAATGCTTTGTTTTGTAGATCTAAAGAGTATGGTAAGACTGTCTTGACTTACATGCGTGTGTGTGTGTGCGCGTGCGCACATACTATATGAGATGTAGTTACAATATGAAATCTCAGTTGGCTACTTGAAACTTATTATAAGTGCATATCTTGTCTAAATGCATATGCTCGTGTATACATATATCTACATGTATTTGAAAGTTCTCAAACCAATTTTCATTTCTTAGATTAGCAAGTTGAAAAAAGAAGATTGAATTTGGATGTCATTGTATTTTGCATCGTAGGTATTAGGATATCCATTTTAGAAATGGAAAAAGATACATCAAGTAAAGGCACATGGAGATATATTATAGTGTATAACTGTCACATTTTAAAGGGGATTTTGTATTTTTAAAAGACAACCTTGGGTATTGACAGCATGGTATCTAGGGGATACTTTAATTTCAGCCTAATTTATTATAAATAGATTTCAACTTCTTGTTCTGAAACAATCTTTAAAATAGCTCTGATTTTTTTAATTCTAAAATTTGTATTGTCATTGTAATATGACTGAATAATTTATAACACTAAATGGTAATGGTTTGCATTAGAAATTGTTAGTTGGTTTCTTAAATCTTCCAAGGGCACATTGGAAATGAAAACTGTTTGAAATCTGCTCTTAAATTATTATACTTAAGATTGACAGATGAACCTTTCTGTGGTGAGAATGACACCACTGATTTTAGATGAATGATTTTTATGCATAAAAATTTTATGAATGAAATAAATATGTGGGTAAAATATTGGTGTCATGTTTTGGTAGTCATTTTATTTAGAATCAAGAAAGGGATGTTGAACAGGAAAGTCACAGAAGTTGGATTTTTTTAAAAAAATTATTCACTGCAATATGTGGTAAAAGATATGCTTTGTTTTGAGTAGTAATACCTGTCAAAGAAAGATAACATGCACTCATTGCACACACACACACACACACACACACTTTTGTGTCTAGGAGAGATCCTCTCTAAACAAGACTTTGTAAAGTTTGATGATTTATTCAAAAGTAATAACCTTCTTGGTGAAATTGACATTCAAATTAAAGTCATAACCTAAATTATACATGTGAAATTAAAAATGGCCCACGAAGTGCTGTGAAGCCTGCAACTGTGTTGGCATCCAGACTCTTCAAGGAAGCACTGAAGGTTATTTCCATGCCAAAAGATACATTCTTGTTTGTAAACATTGAAGTCCTAGGCTGTCATATAAAAGTATGATTTTATGTCCGGATTTTAAAGCCTTGTAATGTCTACAAAGGAAAATAGAGCATTTGAAAGCAAAGTGTGCTTTCCTGGAAATTCGGAGATCCGCTAACAGGTCATGGGACTGCCCTCTGACACTCATTTGCCTCATTGTAAGAACGTTGTTTTAGTTGTTAATACAGGATTTCTAGGATCGCTAGGTGCTGCTATTTAAAATCTAAGTTTCATTAAAAAGTACATCTGATTATTGAAGTATGAACATACTTTTATTGGATTATCTGGGTAGTATAGGCCAGAAACAAATACATATCTCATATATATATATATATATATATTTTTTTTTTTTTTGGAGAGTGTTTTTCTCTGTCACCCAGTCTGAGGTGCAGTGGCACGATCGTAACTCACTGCAGCCTCAAACTCCTGGCCTCAGGCAATCCTACTGCCTCAGTCTCCTGAGTAGCTGGGACTACAGGTGCACACCACCATGGCCAGCTAATTAAAAAAAATTTTTTTTTTTACAGAGACAGGGTCTTGCTACCTTGCCCAGGCTGGTCTTGAACTTCTGGCCTCAAGTGATCTCCCACCTCAGCCTCCCAAAGTGCTGGGATTACACGCCTCAGCCACCATGCCTGGCCCAGAAATAAGCACCTTTAAATATACCCAGTGATGAACAGTTGAGTGGGTGACAATGAGAATACATAAATAGATTTCTTTAAATTTATTTAAATATGACCATCTCAATTATTTCGAAGAGTTACAGCATTTGAAACAAAAGCATGAAGTTAGACCTTAATGGACAGTCTCAGAAAAAAGCAGTCTGACCACTTTCTCGCTTTACCAATCTGCTGTCTGACTTTCTGCCCTGCACTTTGTGCTTGAGGACAGGCCATATTGTTACCTTTCAGATGGATTGACCTCAGTAGCCTTTTGTTTGAAATGTGCAGGTCAAATGTTCCTGTCTATGCTAAAGGTAAATTGGCTTTAAAAGGTTTTTGTTTGTTTTCCAGCAGATTAGAATAAAGCCAAATTGTATTTGTTATATCAAAATATATTTAAGCAATTTGAAAATGTTAATGGCAATTGTATTTAATTGTTTTCTTTTATAAAGTTGCACTTAGCTATTGTGAAAATTAAGTATTTAATTTCACAATACTTAATTTGTGATAGTATTAAAAAGGAATGAATGAGTGGCCATAATTGTGCCACTCAGAGATCTCTACTGGCATTTTTCATTTTAGTCTTTTGTCAGCCCATTTTTATATTGATGAGGTCATATTTTATAAGCAATTGTGAATCCTGAGTTTTATACCTGGAAAAATGTATATGATATAATATTATTTTGTAAAAAGCTTTTTATAAACATCTTTTGATTGCCTTATTTCATCATATGAAAGTATCATAATTTACTGAATTATTCCTTTGTTGAACATACGTTTCCAATGTTCTATTTTTTTTTGAGACGGAATCTTGCTCTATTGCCCAGGATGCAGTGCAGTGGCATGATCTCGGCTCACTGCAAGCTCCGCCTCCCGGGTTTACGCCACTCTCCTGCCTCAGCCTCCCGAGCAGCTGGGACTACAGGTGCCCGCCACCATGCCCGGCTAATTTTTTGTATTTTTAATAGAGACAGGGTTTCACCATGCTAGCCAGGATGGTCTCGATCTCCTGACCTCGTGATCCACCCGCCTCAGCCTCCCAAAGTGCTGGGATTATAGGCGTGAGTCACTGCACCTGGCCTCCAATGTTTTATTATTGTAAATAATACTGTGATAAACATCTTGATGCATGAGTCTGCATTTTGGATTAGTTTCTTAATATTTCTATATATGTAATTATTGGTGCAAACAACGTGAACATTTTTCACAAGTATTACATATTACCAAACTACAGTCTAGAAATGTTGTACTGGTTGCATATGTTGAACAGGGTGGTTCTGCTCTAAATGTATTTGTTTTCCAATCTCTTTCCCAACTATATCCTATAACACTTCATAAGTGCTAGGGGAAAAAAAGTTTAATTTTAGGTTGTATTTGTCTTTTCTGGAAACTTTAATTATCCCCCACATCAAAGTGACAGATCAGCCTTTATTTAAATTTTCAGATATGCAATCAAAGGGACATACTAATTACAGAAAATATTCCATAAAGACATAATTAGAAAATCCTAATGGTGCCTTTCTGTGCATCCTCATAGTATCTTGTGCAAACTTACAGCATTGCACTTTTCACACTGGTGTAATGGTTTGCTTCTGTCTCCAGCTAGCCTGAAAACTCTTTGGGGTGGGACTACACAAAAACAAATGAATGTTGAACCCTCATCCAACTCTGGCAAAGATCTGAATTGCAATTGGGATATAAGGATGTCATCCTTAATACTGTATTAAGGTGACCTGGGCTCCATTCCTGATGCCTATTTGCCAGTTAAAACGACTTTATACAGAAGGTGTATGTCATCATCTAGCTTTGCTACAGGAGGACTAATAAATATACATCCTATGGGTGAAATCATCCTTAAAAGGTCCCCAGAGAAGGCCCATTTTATGATGTTTTTTGAGTGTGAAAGACTCATTTATATCTAAGATGAAACTAATGTGTACTCATTTCAAATATAAGGCAAAGTTCTCCATGCTCTGGCCTAAGAAGATCCACAACTCTGTCACTGAGTGTTTTCTCTCAGCTTGGAACACCTTCTGCTTACTCCAAACTAGTAAAGATGATAAGTTTATTTCTAGACTACTACATAAACAAGTGGCCCCGGACACCCCAAATCGATTAATTCTTGGAACTCCCACAGCACTCTGTATAGACATACCCGTTAGCACTTCTCTTGCTGCGTTTTACATACTTATGTACACAGCTCTTTTCCCACCAAAAAGAACAGTTGAAGGCAGGTACTGTGTCTTACATTTGTATTGTTGAGTTTTAGCATTGTAAATGGGGCATAATGAGTGTAAAGTAGATGGTGCTCATTGAACAAAAAAGTGGTCCAGGTTTTCAGAAACGATTTTTATCACATATATATATTACCAATATCATATTTAAGCCAACCTTTTTTACATGTGAACATCTGAATAAAGTTCTGTAGGTCTGATCTTCTAACGCTGCTAAAGCTGGCTCCTCCACCAGTGTGCTGGGAGAAGGGAGGAAATGGAGACAATATTTCTAAACTTTGCTATTGATGGGGACTTGCAGATCTGACCGACTGTGTGCATGTGCACTTATGCTCATGTGCACCAATTTAGGCGAACCCAAACAAATTTCACCAAGAATGTTTCCTGTTTAGAAATAAGATGGCATTAGTACAGTGTGAAAGAATAGAGATTTTTCAAAGTAAACTCTGGAGCTGTGTCTATTTATATACAACATGGAGAACTGAGGAAATTTCTTCAATAATTCAAAAGCTTGAGAAAACTTTATTTATTTATTTATTTATTTATTTATTTATTTATTATTTTTTGAGACAGAGCCTTTCTCCGTCACTCAGGCTACAGTGCAGTGGTACAATCTTGGCTCACTGCAACCTCCACCTCCTGGTTTCCAGTGATTCTTGTGCCTCAGCCTTCTGAGTAGTTGGGACTACAGGCACGCGCCACTATGCCAGGCTAATTTTTGTGCTTTTAGCAGAGACAAGGTTTCACCATGCTGTGCAGGGAGGTCTCAAACTCCTGGCCTCAAGTGATCCACCTGCCTTGGCCTCCCAAAGTGCTGGGATTACAGGTGTGAGCCACCGTGCCCAGCCAGAAAACATTTTCTACTATCTAGATATTATGAGGTTTCTGTTAATCATGATGAAATCATGTAAAATACAGATTTTGATGGGAGGCAGAGTCAGGTGGATAACCTGAGGTCAGGAGTTCAAGACCAGCTTAGCCAGCATGGCAAAACTCCATCTCTACTAAAAGCACAAAAACTAGCCAGGTGTGGTGGCACGCACCTGTAATCTCAGCTCCTTGGGAGGCTGAGGCAGCAGAATTGCTTGAACCCAGGAGGCGAAGGTTGCAGTGAGCCAAGATTGCACCACTGCACTCCAGCCTGGGTGACAGAGGACGACTTCGTCTCAAAAAAAAAATACAGTCTTCGAATTCTTAATTGGATCAACTCAATGCTAGCAAGAATGCAGAGACACATGAATTCTCCTGGGCATTAGGAATGGAGCCCAGGTCACCTTAATGTAGTGTTGAGAATGACATCCTTATATCCCAATTGCAATTGGGATGTTTGCCAGGATTGGATGAAGGTTCAACATTCATTTGTGTAGCCCTACCCCAAAGAACGTTCACGGTAGCTGGAGACAGAAGCAAACCCTTATACCAGTGTGAAAAGTGCAGTGCTGTAAGTTTGCACAAGATTATGATGAGGATGCAGAGAAAGGTACCATTAGGATTTTCTAATTATGTCTTTATGGAATATTTTCAGTAATTAGTATGTCCCTTTGATTACATATCTGAAAATTTAAATAAAGCCTGATCTGTCACTTTGATGTGGGGGGTAATTAAAGTTTCCAGAAAAGACAAATATAACCTGAAATTAAACTTAATTTTTTTTTCCTACCACTTATGAGGTGTTATAGGATATAGTTGGGAAACAGATTGGAAAACAAATACATTTAGAGCAGATCCCCCATGTTCAACGTATGCAGCACCTCACTAGGCCAAATTAAACTTAATTTTTCATTCCTAGCACTTATGAAATATTATAGGATATAGTTGGAAAGCAGATTGGAAAACAAATACATTTGGAGCAGATCCACCATGTTCAGTGTATGCGGCACCTCACTAGGCCTTGGGGGATCAGGGTTCTATTTCAGGGTTCCATAGCTTTATTGTTTACCAGCTAAGAGAGTCCAGATGGGTTTGATCAGTGCCCTGGGGTTTGGTTTCTTTATACGACCAACTGGGAAGCCTTAGCAACCTCATAATTAGGAATTTCCACAGTATTAAGTATGATCATGCTTTTAATATTATATAGAATATATAGATACAGAGGATTGTAATTATTGTTTAATCACCTTCTGTTTCTTTAAACTTGATAGAAGTGCTTCACTGGTCATTAGCAGGATAATGACTGATGCAACTTTTACATGAAGCCATGTCATTTTGACTTAAAGCAACGGATCTCTGGTATAAGAGGTAGTCTGGCATCTAGCTACTACTCTCTTTCACTGTTTGCAGTCAGCTCTCGCTATGGCATGCTTTCTTTTCATGCTGGTCTCTACTCGAGTGTCACTCCCTCAGAGGGGGGCTTCCTGAGCAACCCGTCTAAGTTTACATTTTTATTCTAGCGTATACCATTATACTGTATATTTATCTCCCTGTCTTTTTATTGTTTGTGTCACCACTGTAATATAATCTCAGTGATGATGGGACCATGCATGGTTCCCCCCCCCCCCCTGTTGCTTCTTCAGAACCTGGAATAAGACCTGACACATAGCCCTCCAAAATACTTTTCGGGTAACTGAAACTGAAGTAGAAAGCTGTAAAGATATCCCAGTGTCAGTACAGGCTTAAAGATGCTGACCCAGAATCAGAAACCATAGTAAATACGCACTGTTGGTGGTTACAGGCACACAATCAGCTGGTCTGACTTGGCTGATACTTGGGTGGTATCAGTGCAGTGGACTTGTTTGTGAAAATTGATGTGAGGTTCTTTTTTTTGTTTTGTTTTTGTTTTTGAGACGGAGTCTCGCTCTGTCGCCCAGGCTGGAGCGCAGTGGCCGGATCTCAGCTCACTGCAAGCTCCGCCTCCCAGGTTCATGCCATTCTCCTGCTTCAGCCTCCCGAGTAGCTGTGACTACAGGCACCCGCCACGTCGCCCGGCTAGTTTTTTGTATTTTTTTAGTAGAGATGGGATTTCACCATGTTAGCCAGGATGGTCTCGATCTCCTGACCTCGTGATCCCTCTGCCTCGGCCTCCCAAAGTGCTGGGATTTCAGGTGTGAGCCACCGCGTCCAGCCGATGTGTTCTTAATGGACCTATTTCCCTAAATGTGCTTTCTCTAAAGCACATTTGCCTTGTTTTATTTATTTTTTCTTCTTGCTTCTGAATGTGCATATTTTCCAATTAGTTTTTCAAATAATACATTCAAGGGTGGCCCCAATATGTGGAAAATTGCTTTGTTAGAATTATTTTGAAGTTATAATGATCTAGAGGTTCTCCCCACCTTAAATAATTTGCTGTTACCCCACTTGGCTTATAGGAAAATTATACAACTTTATAAATCTACTCATGAAATAAGGTAATTTAGTACCTGCTTCTGGCAGTTATATGGAAGACCTCACCTCTTTATTACTCTCAAATACCCAGAACTTATTCACTCAAATAATGTACTGTAGGGAAAATTTCCATACCTAATTCTGCTTTCTTGTCCAATACGGTTTTTAAAAATTATTTAATTTTTCATTTATTAAAGGAAAAATATAAGGTGATTTTTTAGTGTATAATCACCTACTATAAACAAAGTACTTGGTAGGCATAATAAATTGGAAAAAAATACAATTCTCCAACCTTCATGAGGCTTTCAACATTACAATGGGGGATGGGTTTGAGGTAGCCAAGTAATAGGCAAATACAATATGCTACGTTACGTGATGGAAAAATGTACGGGGTATTCCTTGATTGCATATGAGGAACACTTAACTTACTCTTCTATGGTAGTGGATCGAAGAAGGTGACATCTGAATTGAATCATGAGTTATCCAGGTGAGGGATGGGAGTGGGAGACAGTGACTAGAGATGAGGCTGGCAGAGTAGAGAGTAGGTAGAAACCAGATTATGAAGAACCTTATAAGAGCTGTTAAATGGTTATAAATTAATCCTGAGATTTAATGTGGGATCTTGAAGTGTTATATAAGGAGGGGAATGACACATTCAAATTTTTGCAAAAAAAAGAAAAAAAAAAAAAGAAAAAGTCACCCCAGCTTCCATGTCTGGGGTTTTGTTTTGTTTGGGGATTTTGGGGAGTTCTGTGTTTTTTTTCCAGTGGAGTGAGAGGATAATGGGAACTGGAGGTTCTTAACAGAAATCCAGGGCAGATAAGGTGATGGCTTGTATTGCCTGTCACAGGTGTGCTGACCCACTGATGACATGTCTACTCCATTGTTTTCTTAGTAAGGTGTCAAGCAGCCCTGTGAAACAGAGGTAAAGGAAAAGGCGAGATGGGTGCATGAATACTTTTCTCAAACTATATAAGTCAACTTCTTTCCTTTCCATGCAATGGTTGTCTGTGGTAGAGACAAGGCAGAGTGATATGGATAGTTCCTCTTGTTCATTTTATGTGTTAGGAGGTGAAAGAAAACAAGAGAGACCCAAGTATTCACACCTCCTGCCCCCACCTTCAGCTTCTTAGTTGCCAGTGGTTTTGAGGTGAGTTGTTTGTGTTATGTTTTTCCCTTCAATGCTTTCCTATGAACGTAGCTTACTTTAACTAGAGTTGAGCGTGGCATCTGCCCAGGAGAAACATGTATACACACAGGGGATGCTGACAAGTCTATGCTGGCTCTTTTCTTGTCACTGCATTACCACTTGGTTTTGTCTTGTCTAGGTACCTGAATGGAGTGGTGAAAAATGGAGCTGCCCCAGTGCTCCTGGACCTGGCCAATGAGGTAATGTTATTGTTATGATTTTATTTAAACTTGCATGAAACCTAAGGGGCCCATCTAGAGTAACTTTGCTTGCAATTATAATTACCTTTGGAGAAAAAAGGATTTGAGGTGCATTAGACGTTTAAATTACTCCCTGATCTCTTTGTACTTTTAATAATTGGACAGAGAACTTCACATATTAATAAATCAGTTGGCATAATTAGTCTACTTCTTTTAAGGTAAATGTATAAACAGCCTCTTGGTTTCTTATTTTGTGGAAAATTTCAACCAAACAGCTCAGGACATGCTTTTCTCAGGATAGGTTGTCTTAACTTAGTGTGAGAAATACCTGTGTCAAGAAAAAAAAAAAAGGCCAAAAAAAAAAAAAAAAAAAAGAAAAAGTAAGAAAAAAGAAAAAAATCTACTAACTGTTATAAAAATGAAGAGAGAAATTGTATACTTAAAGATGTACTTGATTCATTTTTTTGTTAGCAAACTTTTATTATAATAAAGGATCCATGCCTTGTAGAAAAGTCTCTTTATATGAAGAGACTCTTTATATGAAGAAGCATAGTGTTCTTAATAACACCAAGTAAGAAGTGATTTATTGCACTTATTCGTTAACTCTGATCTGCTTCTGTTTGGGAAAACAAATAACAGCCTTACATTTAAAAAAGGAAACCCTACAGATTTCCCATGAATGAAGAAGCTGTGAAAAGTTCGTAATAGTTGCAGAGAGCATGCCGAAAAAATAAAATATTTAATTCCTAAACTTTAAAATATTTATCCACTGTAATAAGAGCAATACAATATTTAGTCTGACTTGGAACTGCTTATGCAAACCTCGTAGGGATGGAATGAAATGTACACTGTTTTTGTGTTGCATTATAATGGAAAACATAAGAAGCAAGGCAGAAAATGTGTGTTTGCATTAAAGATGACTCGGTAGTGTGAGCATTAAGTGTTGCAGTAGCAGCAAGTTCTACATGTTATATTAGCAAGGAAGGATGGCTTCCCTCACAGCTTCTGTCTGCTGCTATACACTGCTGCAGTCAACAAATGAGCAATTACCTATCAGTTACTAGATGGTTTTAATAGTCTAGGCAATGTCTACACAATCAGATAGGATAGTTAACATGCAGAATGGATATCTGTGGGCCTCCTAGAAAAACAAGTATTTTATTCTTTTTTTTTTTTCCATGTCTAGAGCAGGAATTTTTTTTTCTTTTCTTTTTCTTAGTTTTTTCTTTTTTTCTTTTTTTTTCTTTTTTTGAGATGGAGTCTTGCTCTGTTGCCAGGCTGGAGTGCAGTGGTGTGATCTTAGCTCACTACAACCTCCGCCTCCTGGGTTCAAGCGATTCTCCTGCCTCAGCCTCCCGAGTAGCTGGGACTATAGGCGCGTGCCACGATGCCCAGCTAATTTTTATATTTTTAGTAGGGACGAGGTTTCACCATGTTGGCCAGAATGGTCTCGATCTCCTGACCTTGTGATCCACCTGCTTTGACCTCCCAAAGTGCTGGGATTACAGGTGTGAGCCACTGCGCCCGGCCAGCAGGCTGGTTTTTAAATGTCTCTAGACCTGTTCGTTACAAGTTGATGCTATTAGTAACTTGAGGTATGTGAGCTTTAACTAGGAATTTAGTGATTGTCTTTTATGAAAAAGAAGAATAAGCTAGCAGCATTCCAGACACACATCTAGAAAGAATGTGATGCAAATATGGTACCCATCTATATAGATGATGATGTTGATGATATAAGTTTTACATCATAGCAATCTATATTCATTTGAATTTTTAATGGATAGTTCTATATCCATTAAATATTTAGCTGACCTCTGTTTTAATCTTCTAGTAATATGGAAAAATTTAACCTACCAACACGTTTTCTCCTACATCAATAAACCTTTTATTTACCATGAATATATAGCAGTATTTAGACAAGGGAAAAAGTAGTTGTTTAAAGGCTTTTCCTCCCTTTTGGCTACAGACTAGTACAGAAAGAATAGCACTTTTCTATGAAATTGATAATGCATTAGGGAAATTTGGGAATGACTGGTACCATATTATAGCTTCTAAACAACCAAGCTGCCATTTTTTCATCATAGTTAATGCTTAAATAGCATACACTTGCGTCTGGTGACAATTGGCGTGATGGTAATACTTTATGAGTCAATATTTATTTAATCAGCGGAAACTATAACAATTGATGAGAAATATATAACATTGGTACATTACAGGGTGCAGCAACTCTGTTAGACAAGAGCGTTGTATTTTTGTTATCTTTTTGGGGGGCTAAGGGCTGTATGTGGTCATCACTGATTTTATAAATGTCTTAATACTACTTCTGCAGTTTCAAGTCGAAAATTGAACATTTTAGGAATTCACACGTTGTTAGTGATAATAAGATCAGTCATTCTGTTCTCTCCACACAAATATTTTCAAGTGAGCTTTGAAGCACTGTGCATTTTACTTACATGCTAAATTCTGACATGAAGCATGATGGTCCTATTTCAGAGAA